TAAATACGACTGTACGGATTTCATAATTGTATTATAATAAAATTCATACACATTCGAAACCGTGGAGGGTAGGGGGTCGCAAGATATTTTTACATAATAAGGGGGTCGCGTCATGGAAAAGATTGAAAAAAACTGCTGTAGAAGAATCTAAAAGAACTGAGTACTATATTATGTAAATTAATGTTTAAAATTAAAACGATTGATTGGCTCGACACCGTTAAAGGATTAAAAAGGAATGGACGCAATGACTGATGCAACGGTACTATTGCGGTTTACAACCAACTTCAGAAAGAAGGAATTTCAGAATTCGGTTGTATATGTTATCTCATAAGTATGTCATAAGTATGTTTTACCAGAGGGAGACTTTGTACAAAAGTCGATTGCTTGGGTACCTCTGTCCCATTCGTGTTTCTACCGTGAAGCAGTTGTGTTTGCATGGCTGTGTTTCGGTTTGAAGGGTGGGATATGGCGTGAATTTACTGGGTACGGAGGAATAACACCTAAGTCCTCAGAAATAGCAACGCATGGGGGGTATCATGGGCGAAACAGTATACTCTGTTATGTGCATGTTACTGCTCATGTCTATAGGCGACGGTTACCACTTTCCATCAGGTGGGCCGTCAGCTTGTTTGCCATTCTAAGTTGTATAAAAAAAATGACATTTATAAAACGATTAGGAAAATTCATTTTTCATCTGAAAATATATACTTACAGTATATTGATGTACTTAAAGATATACTTTCCACTTTGGGGGGTTTGCCAATAGTTGCAATGCTTGGCAGGCGGATTGGCTACCGCAGTTATTGTTTTAAGAGAGATTCTGCTGCCCATTCCTCGCCCTCCTTAGTCGCCTCTTACGACAGCCACGGAAAAGAAAGAGTTGCCAAATCTATGCCGGGACTACACAGCAATTTGTGGGATACAATCTCAATAATCGTTATGGGAAACGAACCGCACGATATTACTGTGTTTATAAAGCGTGGTAATTTATTGCGTCATAGGGTCGCTCGTCATACGAATGTCATTAAAGCGTAAAATCAAACATTTTATTCACGCACTCAATGTAACAACTTTGCTGTAAAAGCCAATTACGGTTTTGCATGTTCAATATTATCACGGATTCAGGGCTTAAGGGACCGCCTCTTTACTGTAATGCATCAGGCTTGTTCGCAGATGGTTGGATTAGGAGCTAGTCAAATGAAACCTCTGACGCAGTTCAGAGGTCTATTTTTGTAACTGTATCTATGTTAGATTTTTAACGCTAAACCTAGGATTGCATCAATCTCTGGCCAGGATTTGTGCATCATACAATGAAATTAATGCCAAATTACCTGAAATTTATATTTTTTTATATAACTTAGAATGGCAAACAAGCTAACGGCCCACCTGATGGAAAGTGGTAACCGTCGTCTACAGACATGAGCAGTATCATGGACATAACAGAGTATACTGTTTCGCCCATGGTACCCGTCATGCGTTGCCATTCCTGAGGACTCAGGTTTTATTTCTCTGTACCCTATAAATTCACGCCATATCCCACCCTTTAAATCGAAACATAGCCATGCAAACACAACTGCTTCACGGTAGAAACACGAATGGGACAGAGATGCCCAAGTAAACGACTTTTGTACAAAGTCTCCCTCTAGTTAATTGATGGGAGTGAATGCGAAAATAACTGCGTATAGAGAAGAATGGAAGAGAAAAACATATAACGCCGACCCCAAAAATTAATTGGGATAAGGATAGAAAAATAAGAATGATGAAATATATATTATATTAAGGCATGTAATTATAAGGCAAAATTTCATGAAAGATTAATGACAACAAGTAATCATATTGTAAAGACTGTATTCCTCACTGCATACCTGACGACAAAAGATTTTATAATGAAATAATTTAAATTCGTATTTTATAATTAATGTATATTTTACAAATAATAATAATAGTTTGTATAATTAATAATGTAATAATATAAACTATGGGTATATACCTGAAAATAAAGAGATTTATTATTATTATATTATATATATTAGTATAAATTCTATTAGAAGTCAAAAACCGTACGCATTAAAACCAGTAATGGAGCGTGAAAATTAAGCTCTTTTTGAAATTTCTTGACAATCCTTGGGATGATAATGTATAAAGAAAATAAAAGTATGCGTACAAAGTTGCAATATAAACTATTTATGTTAAAATGTCTCCACCCTACTTCAAATATTGTAAGTATATATTTATTAATACATATTGATACCGTGCTATTGTAACTCTCCCCTCTATTCTGTAGCGGAAAATAATATTTAACTCAAATATTTGTCCGCTTACTAACAACATAAAAATCCCATAGCGAATACAAATATTTGTGCATTAAATGGCATCATTTCATGTCAACATAATCTCCGTTCGTAGATCGGTATAAATGTCGTTTGATTGACGCCATCAAATATTGTACATGATGAAAATCACCGCATTATCATTGAACGTTTTTCACAGAGAAATGTGGGTCGAAACACGAAAGAAAAATTATAGCTTTCATAATAAGTTGACAGCTGGACGCCTTCTGTTTTTAATAGCGGCTCAAAAAAGTTTCACTGGGATAAATGTTCGAATTCAATTGCGGGAATCCCTTAAAATAATTTTCATTTCGTTCCGTATACCATACATAACGCGTACACGTACTCGCGGCGAAGCGTGTTGCAGTAAAGGTCTACAAGTTCTACAGATCTTCACTAATTGCTTTCACGTGAGCCTTTGCCTTCTAATTAATTTCCTTTATGTACAAATGTACAGCTCCGTATGTTTCTCAGTTCAAAACATGTAACGAAGGAAGTCTCCTTGTAACACATGGTACAATAATGAAATGAAGACTAGAGAAATTATTAAAGACTTGTAAATTGCCACAAGGAATGGGTATTTAGTTATTAATATCATTTGAAGTTCGAGCTACGAGTATCTCCGACTGAAATCTCTAACACTATATGACATACTAGGTCTTTTGTGCTTGCCCTCTTCTAAAGTCTAATTGCGTCACTTTTTGTCAACAATAATCTCAATTGCCTCTCAAAGAAATGAAAAAGTAAAATAAATCACAGTGAAACCTTAAAATAAATAAAGTCCTATAGTCCTTATTCTTATACCTGTACCAAGCTGCCTGACTAGCCTGGAAATAAAAGGTCAATATCCTGCCCTTGAGAAGAAAAACTAGTGCCCCTCCTGGAATGATAACAATCAACAATAGTATGATCTCAAGGAAATGAGAATACACTATATAATATTTTCAGACAAAACAGAATGAAAAGATCTGTGTGCAATTTTTTCAATTAAACTGACACCATATTTGATGGTAAATGATAACCATCACCTATAAACATAAACAGCACCATGTACCTATGTATATGTACATAATGTACCTATGGATTTCCAATTTTGAGCTCTAAGGTAATATGCTTCCGTAGTCCATACCTAATAATTTCGCTACCATATCCTCCAAACTGAAATGCCACACACAGCCATGCAAGCCCAACAGTTTGACTGCAGAAACACGAGTGGGGCGGAATTTTTACGACCAAAAAATACGCAAAATTCCATGGTTCCAAACAACTTCTATTCCACTGCGCAAGGCTTGTTTATTTAAATTAGCATAGATATAATATAGAAATATATTACAGCAATAAACCGTGGAGATAAGTAATTAATGGAAACTACATAATGAGTGGTAATTAGATTAATCTGTGGTAGGCTCTCTAAAGATATAGTTAAATGCAATTATGGTTATTTCTCCCTCAGCTCTAATTATAATTTCATGTTTTGAATTTATATATTATATATATATATATAATATAAAGCTAAAATAATATAGAGCTTATGTCTAAAATTTTCCATAATAAGTTATATCTGCTGTTGATGGACCCAAAATTGATGTCAATGTGATCGCTGTGAGCATTTAGAATCCTACATAATGTGGGTACAGGCGAGTTGGCTCCTAACACCGTTTTTTTTAACGAAGAACATAAAGGTGTTATCTGTTTTCGAGGTATACTAGAGGGAATACGAAAGTTAAACGGTTGAAGCATTTGTGGACAATCTATGTGTTAATATTTTAAAACCAAAAGAAATGTCAATAAAATCTCTGCATTTTTCTAATGAGATGATATGAAAATGCCTCTGCTTGTCAATGTAAGAGGAGTTTATATAAATAATACCTAACTTCTGGTGGTGGGGAAAGGGATTGTTAGTAATGGAGACTGAGAATCCCATTGCTAGCAATATACCCAACCAGTTCGACCTCCTTGCGGTTCTCCCTGGAAACTATCATGGTTAATTTCTGATGAATTCATCATGATGGGCTAACTGACCTGTTTTCATTCTCATCTATCACCCTTCACTGGTGCTCCGCCAGCGTATCCCGTTAGCACAGGCGGGGTACCATAACATTTTTACCAATAAAAAAAAAAACTTCTGGTGGTAAAAATGTTGTGGCTTTTATTATTTACATAGATTATTATCTCTGACTTAAAAACATTATCCTATTTTCATCCGTAATCGAATAAAGTACTGAGCTTCTAAAATATTATCACACTAATAGAAAACTTGACTACCCTTATGCATACAGACAACATAGCTGACATTCTTTTGAGAGAATGATCTACCAGAGAAAAATGTAGTATTTATCCGCACAAAAAAAGCATGGTCGACAAATGACAAAAATTTAGAACTTCTCATTAGTATCAACTTGACAGATGGAGGCATCACGTTAAAAGGTACAGAATTCTTTGGTGAAAATATTCAGTTTAACTGACAGAACACTCGCTCGAAAGGATGCTAACGATTTCGACTTCGGCTTGTATAATTTATTATTTTCCGGAAGGTTTACGCGGGAATGGAATTAATGGAGAATGATTAGTTGCAAATACACTAAAAGCAATATAATGCTAAAACTAATGGCACAGTTTTAACACCAATATTATATAAATAAATAATTATATCTACAGTAAAACACTTACGTTTATCTCCACTTGTCCGTAACTCCCAATTTCGAAGGAGTTCGGTGTGAATGTCACTTTGAGTATATCACTATCGCCTCCTGAAACAGTGAGCATCTAATATAAAATTTGAAAATTTGTAAAGATTTGTATCATTGTTACTCAATTAGGTCTAATCGGCTTGACAGAATTGTATCAAATTTTATTTTGGATAGACCAAACTCTATAAGTACCATCATGTTCATGATTTGTCGAAAAAGATAATCAGCCCTACATTTTTTATATCTTAGAAAAACAAATGACCACCTTACTGCCAATTTAATTTTTTTACGTTCACGAAACAAAAATAGAAAACGTAATCCGAAAACAAATTCATATTTAAGTTACTGATCCATTCCCTTGCCACCATGATATGTGGTTCTCTAGGTACAGAGACGTGAACTGTTAGATCATTTGACAGCCGCAGCTTCTACTGTATATAGTAATACTGCGTATAGTAATCCACACTTGCCTTAGAGACTCGTTTGCGGTCTGTAAATTACTACGCGTGGAGTAGGGAAGCTAGTTAAAACTTCAAGGGCTAGGGCAGAATAAAATAACGCACCTTTGCTTGAGTAACTTTAGGTCTGTTGAGACCAACTTTTCACAAAATAACACAGTTTGCCTCTGTTGACCTAATTATACCATGCGGCCAAATATCGGACTAATATGAGGATTTTTTTATGTAGCTCAGAATGGTAAACAAGCTGACAGCCAACCTGATGGAAAGTGGTAACTATCGCATATAGTCATGAACAGTACCATGGACATTACAGAGTTACCCCCATGCATTGCCATTCCTGAGGACTCAGGTGTTATTCCTTTGTACCCAGTAAATCCATTGCCATATCCCACCCTTCAAACCGAAACACAGCCATGCAAACATAACTGCTTCACGGTATAAAACACAAATGGTACAGAAGTACCCAATAATTTTTTTTTTGTACAAAGTCTCCCTCTATTAATATGAAATTTACTGTATATTATATGATGTAAATATTGCTACTTATGTTTATAGGTGATGTTTACCATTTTTCATCAGATGGACTGTCCAGTTTGCTATTTCCAATAACATAAACAAGTTTATTTTGCTCCACAGATAAAAAAAACACAAATGCGCTGTCGAAATGGGCTGGAGCAATGATGGAAGAATTCTGACAATATCACATATATCCAAATCTGTTCAGGCATTTAGAAGTTGTGGTCGGAAAAAGAAGCTCGAACCCTAAAAACATTATACTCCTTTTTTGGAGGCCATCTAATAAAATATAGACGATATTACCCATGGGAGGTTCCCAGTTGACTCTAGTTGAGATTGGTGTGATGTTGATTATGACGAGTCTGTAACAGGTCCGTCTTCCAAGCACAAGTGCGGCGCTCGGGCGCAGTATTGCTGTGCCTTTAATTCTATTTCCAGCTCCTGGGTCCAAGCTGCAACCTTTGCCTGTATTTGCATAAATTTCTAATATAATTTCTATTTAATTTTCGCTTTTTATTTTGCTAGGCTAAGGACTTACTTGTTGTGAAAAATGTTGGGATACTTGATACGACACGATGAACTTATGAACATTATAATAGAAGGTAAGATATAAGGAAGGAGGGGGAAAGGGAGACCGAGACATAGTTACATCAGGCAGATTAAGGAAGGAGTTGGTGTCGTGTCGTATCAGGAGGTGAAGAGACTCGCTGAAAATCGTAGTGAGTGGCAAGAGCTCCACCGACAAGAGCGCAGCTCTTAAATAGATAGATAGAAGGACTTAATTAATTGATGTACTGGATAACCTTTTTCTCGGTGATAGTTCACGACAATTAATCAACCTTGTTCAAGGCCATGTTTTCATATTCCAAGAATGTTCATAGATCAGGTACCTACTAACAGTCCCCATTCTTGTCTCAACGGACCACAATATTTGGAATTAATTATTCAGGTCATGATCAAAGTGTGGGTACTAAGTCCATCCTAGTCATGTCAAAAGGCCGGCGGTGGAAACGATTTTGTTCAATGATTACACACATCAGTAAAATGAGGAATATATATAGGTTTCAGGCCGGTGGAAAATTGGTTTAGCAAATGCGCATATAACATCTCTGGTGTTGCAGGCGTCCATAGGCTACTGCGACTGTTTACCATCAGGCATCCTGAATGTTTGTTTGCATCCATGGAATGAGTTACTGGTCGAGGTTTTCCCAAAAGACTACTGCATGAGGTTCTTCAAAAAAGGGATAAAGAGGTTTCTTAAGGGTCAGCAATGTGCTCGTAATTACCCTGGTATTGGTATTTACCAGATAGAGACTTTGTACAAAAGTCAATTGCATACCTCTGTCCTATTCGTGTTTCAACCGTGAAGCAGTTGTGTTTGCATGACTGTGTTTCGGTTTGAAGGGTGGGATATGGCGTGAATTTACTGGGTACAGAGGAATAACACCTGAGTCCTCAGGAATGGCAACGCATGGGGGGTATCATGGGCGAAACAGTATACTCTGTTATGTCCATAGTACTACTCATGGCTATAGGCGACGGCTACCACTTTCCATTAGGTGGGCCGTCAGCTTGTTTGCCATTTTAAGTTGTATAAAAAAAAAGGCAATCATAGGTTACGGTAACCGCTTACCATCAGTGGGGCCGTATGCTTGCTTGCCACCACAGTGGTATAAAAAAAATGGTATAAACCTTTACCGTGTGATCCCGGCATGGAATAGACCACCTTTTCCTTACCCGTGGGTGTGATAAGAGGCGACTAAAGGAGTTTATGGTGGAGGAAGGGGCAGCAGCGTTCCTTTTAAAACATCTGTAAAAGCCTAACTACGGTTACCAACCCGCCTGCCAAACGTGGCAACTACTGGCAAAACTCCTCTTATGGGAAAGGTTTATGTCCAGCAATGGTCAGTTAATGGCTGAAATAATAATAAACTATTTATCTCCAAAGCTGTAGGAAGTCAGGCTGCAGCATACAAGCAAGTTAAGTTGGTTCCAGGTGGTGTTCAAAGGGCAGTACTAACAGTCTCCGCTATCCTCTGGGTGACAGGGTACGACCCGCAACAGTAGGCGCGGCGCCAGCACGCGGCCGCCCAGCAGCACCGCGCGGCTCTCACGCCCCGCGCCGCGCCCGCCCTGCACCAACGCCACCACGCACCCGTCTGACTACGGGAACATATTTATTTTGAAAAAGGAGGAGATTTCCAATTCTGTTGAATACTTTTTGCCTTGATAATATGTAATAAAGCAAAAGAGTATTTTTTTATTTCAACTTACAAATCACTAGAACTACTATTTTTTTTATGCCAACGGAATTGTTTATAATGGCCGCGCTATCGGTATATACTAGTGGAGCACCAGGCTGGGATGGTAGATGAGGATAAAATCACATCAATCACTATCGTGATGAATACACCTATAATTCAACCTGATGGGTTTCAGAGGGGATTGCGGAGAGTTTGACTTTATAAGATACATTACTAACAATGGGGCTGGTAGTCTCAATGAAAGAATTGCGAGTACTGACTAACAATCCCATCCCCCTCCCCCCTCCCACCAGAACTACTATATGAGAAATTCTTTTTGCATTCCATACATCATTCCTTGAGAAAGTTTGTGATAGCCCATTCAAAATTACTATACGACCACGAATAGAGCCGCAGGACATGACTAGCAGGTATATAAAAATACCGCGGTAACAATAAATAATAAAGTTAAGTAACAAACAAAAAAATATAACCGAATCGAAAACATGCTTCTTTTTGCAATCGGTTGAAAAACACTTTCATCGTCAGGAATGAAAACTTACGTACGGCACTTGAGTCTATAGTCTACGACTATCACTTTCCAAACATGTATGATTTTCACATTTTATATTCAATATTAGTGGTACCAGACTAATTTATATTCCCGCGAGCAAATATTAAGCACTTTAATCATCTCGAGTCTAATCAAATTGTCGAGACTAATTGTTGTTTACATCTTACTCGTATGTAATACTGCTCGTTATGTAATAAACGGTTAAATATATAACGTTATAATTACGTTTAACCACTGGTTAGTTGATAACAATTATTTTGTTTAATTCTGCTAAAAACATCTAGTTCAGTTAAATATATACCACTAATATTTAATTTGTTTCCAGAGAAGTTGCTTCCAATAATATCTAAATTAATACAACGAATTAAAACAATGTGTGTATTCACACTACATTTCAGTCCCGTTCCGATCAATCTCGAATTGTTTGTACTGACTATACCGAGAGCGGACCGAGAACGATAATAGTATCGTTCTCGGTTCGCTCTCGGCCCATACCATAGGGTCTGAATGCGACCTTACAGTTTGGAAACGCAGTGTTATGATGGTATACTGAAGGCAAGGTGTCTCACATCAGGTATGTCTAGCTCGTAGTCGATACATGTGTCGTGAGCATGCTCGAGCGTGCCGGCGGCGGGTCTCAGGCGCTCGCAGTTGCAGTCACAGTGGTGGCGCGCCGCGCCAGGCTCGCGTCCACCCCACCACCGCCACGCCTTGCACCACCAGCTGATCTGGGTCGAGATCGACGGTTCTACTGATTGCTTACTAGCCGTAACTCTCAGGCGAAGGGACCATTAGTGACAGCGACCAGCACCGTTGGTAAACCATAGCAGTAAATTCTTTGTACATTTGTCACGATGATTGGTTAGAGCTGATTTAATGAATCCTTACCTATCTTTGCTCCCGCTATTACTATTTCAATTAGGATGATCCAGAAAAAGTCACCCTTTGCCTCAACAGCGCAAGCAGAGTTACTATCATATTTTCAAAATCAGCAAGATTACCAGAATAAAGTCAAAATGAAATACTATGCAAATATGATTAATGATATGCCAATATCCTTATCTTTTCTTATATGGCCTTTAAAGTTTATAAGTGGGACATTAGTAAATCAGTACGTTGATAAAGATAGTTATATTCCTTATACTAATCCAGGAAATTATTCATATATATATTAAATGGGTAAAAAAATTATAAACACAAGGATTTTTACAATAGTTATAAAATCAAAGTTCCACCAAGTGTCAATATAAAAGAAATGTTTGCGAGTATCCAAGTAAGTTACACACATGTTCATATGTATCGTTGACGAGTTTTATCTGGGCGTGTACGCGAGCGCCGGGCGGAACCAGCCCGAGCCAGGTAATAGCAGGCTCCAGCTGCGGCTGCCGGCTGGCACACTGCCGGATGACTTTACACTGTGACCGCCATTCTTCTCCTGCTGCCACCATTCTACATAGAGGAGAAAGCCGAAAATTTAAATCACTTTTAGATGAAAAGAACGAAACCGACATCCAATGCGGAAATGTAAAAATTCAGATACCGAAAACTTAAATGATATATTGTAAAATCGGATGGACCGTAAGTTATATCAAGGAGAAGTCAAGAAGTTTTGAGAACAGACGACGATGAAATAAAATACGAAAATGGATGAATCAGAAGGAATGGAAAAATCCTAAAAGAATTAAGATTTTCTGATAATTAGTAAAATTATATGAACCTTGATTACAAACAAGTCTTTTATGGCCCACAAAATAGCTATGTACACAAAATAAGTATATAAAATGTGAAAGTTACAAAAGGTGGTCTTATCGGTTAAAGGGGTAAAAAAGGTTAAAACAACCTATCATAATGTAGTAGTATTAATCTTCTGTTCTCGTTATTTAAAGATCCTGAGGGATGGAAGAGGGATATTTATGAGACAAAAATAAGTGCTTACACATTATATTTTTACTTACCACACTAACAAAAACATTGTCTACTGCTAAATATAGACTTTTCCCATTAACTGATAAATTAATGGTCCTGAGTCACCTGCATCCATTAACTCCCTTGAAATAGATTTTAGGTCTTCTCTCTATCTCCAATCGTAAAATATTACTTACTCAATAATATCAATCTCTGAACATTCGTTTGGGAGACTTGGCAAGGTGAAATTCAGGGACACATCCAAAGAGTTCGTGGGACTGAGAAATGACTGCGGCGCAGGTGGCAGGAGCCGTGCAGGCAACTCCCACCAAGTGTGAATTGACTCATTCCCGTACAATTGCGTAGCGCGTATCTTCAAATTTATGCTTTGAACCCTAATAACAAAACTTACAATGGCAAATCACTTTTTCACAACGACTCTATAAAGAAACTACTGGGTATCATTGAAATTATCGAGGGATACCTTTGAAGTTGCAAATGTTCATATTTGGGGTGGCTGCTTAGCATTCAGCACTGTCAAGTAGATCGGGTCTTTCTATTCTACCTCCACTGTGTACTCGTAATAAAATATATTTGTACAGTCTCCCTCTGTTTTTATATTCAATTAATAGCTAATAAAAGTAATCTATGTTTTTTTCTATCCCATAATAGTACCAATATACCAAATTTTATATCAATTGGTTAAGCCGTTAAAGTGCTATAAGGTAACAAAGTCAGTTTCACATATAATAATATAATATTAGTAAATATTATATATATATATATATATATATATATATATATATATATATATATATATATATATATATATATATATATAATATTATTTACTTACTAACTGTATTCCGCAACTTCACCTGCATTAATTACTATATAAAGTATCCTATGTACTAAATTAGGATATAGCCTACACCTGTACCAAATTACATTCAAATCCGTTCAATAGTTTTTGCGAGAGTGATAAACGCCCATTCTCCATCGTTACATTAGATTCACTATATACTAGTCCTCTTGAAAAACAATACTTTAAGTATACTCGATATGAATGTCTTCAATAACCTTCTAGAATGCGGTAGTGACAAACAAAGGGGATCAAGGACAAACTTCACAGGAGCAACTTCCCACCACACCTCCATTTGGCAACATACCACCTCACAAATCTCCCGAGACCAGCTCTGTAACAGTTATTTATTATAAAGATTAAGGTAAAATAGTCGCTTTAGTGAATACCACCTCTTAGTGTGCAACTTGTAACTAATGGAGTTAAATTCCGCAACTCGCCCCATCCGTGTCTGATTTTTTGAGCAAAGAACTGCATATTGAAGCAAACTCTACTCATAAACGTGTGATTTCGCATCTCTCTCCCTCTGTTTATAGATATGTATGTGTCTCTCTCTCTCTCTCTCTCTCTCTCTGTGTGTGTGTGTGTGTGTGTGTGTGTGTGTGTGTGTGTGTGTGTGTGTGTGTGTGTGTGTGTGTGTGTGTGTGTCTGTGCGTGGGCGTGTGCACAATAGTTCCAGAGATATTTTCTTCCACGAACACTCATATATATTATGGAATGAGCTGCCCTGCCGAGGTTTTCCAAAAAAAAGACTACAGCATGGGGTTCTTCAAAAGGGGGTAAAGAGGTTTCTTCAGGGTCGGCAACGCGCGCGTAATACCTCTGGTATTACAGGCGTTCATAGGCTACGGTAACCGCTTACCATCAGGTGGGCCGTATGCTTGTTTGCCACCACAGTGGTATAAAAAACTCGAAGACATACGGTCTAAAATTATGATAACTTATACCTATCTGTTTTTACTTTCGTGTTGTTCTGTTTAGTCACTCATTCAAATTTCTTTTCATACACCTGAATCACAGTAAATTTAATAAAATTTACAAGCAAAACCTCCACAATCAAACATCAATTCATGAAATCTCTCCCTTAGTGAAATCCCTGCTAACTTCAAATTTTACAAACAGAATTTAAAATACTTGCATGTGTGTAAGCTTACCTTTACACCTGGTACCGAATCAGACTCAACTGTTTCTGTATTAACAATCATTGCATCGCAATCGCAAGGGAAACTTTCTTTTGGAATATCTTTCAACACCAACCTGATATGATGGAAAATACATATATACATACATAATATTTTCAATGCATAACATATAAACTACATTCCATAGTGGATAACTTAGTAAATCGTCACAATATTGTACACTGCTGTATCCGCTGACACTGATGCTCCTTTCCACTTTGGGTGTTACTGGAAGAAAACTCTATTAGAGTTAAGCTCGCCTTTGTACATTTGATTACCTCTGTCATATTCTTAAAACTAGTGTGCACAATAATTAAAATAAAATAAATAAATAAAATCACTGTTCATTTTGATCCCACATTTAAAAATAAAATTTTATAATAATATTATAATATGATACTCGTCGGTACAATATACTCTCATTTCTTATTGACCTTACCATGATACTCATCATCATCATATCAGCCTTTAACTATCCACTAGAGGGGTTATGCCAGTAGTTGCCACGCTAGGCAGGCGGATTTGCAACCGCAGTTAAGCTTTAGAAATATTTTAAGAGGGACGCTACTGCCATTCCTCGCTCTCCCTTGGTCGCCTCTTACGACACCTACGGGAAAGGAAGGGATGGTTCTTTCTATGCCGAAACCTACAAGACGATCATGTTACTTAACAAAATAGGAATACTTGTTTATTTATTTATTAAGGAAAACAACAGTACAATAGATAAGGTAATATTATAAACTTAAAGAATTTGTTTGTTTGAACGCGCTAATCTCAGAAACTGCTGGTTCGAATTGAAAAATTCTTTTTGTGTTGGATAGTTCAATTATTTAGGAAGACTTTACGCTATATAACATCACGCTGCGACCAATAGGAGCGAAGCATCAGTGAAAAATGTTGCAAAACCGGGGAAAATTATTCATATTTGAGAGCTTCCGTTGCGTGCGCTGTGTAAACGATTCAAGTTACCCAAAAAATACGTATGAAAGAATTATCCCTCTATAAATAATCTAAACATATATATTATTGTCGAAAATTCTATCTGCCCGTGCGAAGCCGGGCTGGGTTACTAGTAGCAAAAAAATATGCGTCGGTTAGAGGCAAACAAAAAAATTCGTCATTATATTTAAATACAAAATTCAGTGATAAATCTACCACACATAAATTTTCAGAGTAGACAATACATTACCTACAAAACAGATGATTAATTATTGTATCTTTCATAAATGAATGGTTTATTTTTCTCTTCACAATAGGTAGTTAAAATAACAAAGTTTGAGGTACAATTAAATATGTGAGACCAGTTTTGTGAGAGACTGGAGCCTGCAGTAGATTTTGAAAAGACCTGTGTTACAAGTCACCAATGTAGCAATTGCATGGACTACACAAATATAAGGCGACCAATTAGTTTTACACTACACACATGACAATAAAGCAATATAAATTGCGAGAATAAACTGTAAAAAATATTTAATACGTATTAAAGTATATATGAAGAAGAACAGTATTAATATACGTTATTATAAACAAATAGAATGATATCACGATAATAAGTGAATGATTTTGAAATATCCGTTTAAAGTTGTGAGAGTCTTCAGAAGTTAAACTACATATATGAATTTCCTTAAAGTTTCAACGCATTCAAGTTGACGTAACATAAATTGGAGTTGCAAAATTTTGATATTGCATAACATGCTCTAACGGAAATTGCACTTACGTGTTTGAAGACTAAACTTTTTGTATCCAATCTCTTCATAATACTCTTATTTTTTAAATATATATGCAACGTAAAAATTGCTAACTGTAAAACAGTATATTAACATATATATCAGATTTTAACTATCCACTGCTAAACATAAGCCTCCGCCTTGGATGGTTTTGTCAGTAGTTGCCACGCTTGGCGAAAGGATTGACAACCACAGTTAGGTTTTGGAGAAGTTTTAAGAGGGACGCTGCTGCCCATCCCTCGCTCTTCCTTAGTCGCCTCTTACGACACCCACGGAAAAATAAGGGGGTGAGCTATTCTATACCGGGACCATACGGCCAAACCAGGATATATTGCATATAAACAACATTACAACTTAGTGTTCAGTATGGTTTTGTTTTTTTTTTTTTATAAATACTATATGTGCAGAAAATATTTAATTCTACATTGTTGCAGTTGCTGAACTTAATTCTACTATGATGTAGTTTTAATATACTTCAAAATATTATAAATATAAGGATACACGTAATGAAGGGAACGATTACAAAAGTAGACTGATCCCTGATACAGATAATCTTTAGAAATATAATACGATAGGTAGACAGATAGATAGATATATAATTGTTTGCATTACTTACAGCACACAAATAACATTAGATATTGGTGCATACTTAAAAAAGAAATACAAAATAAATAATTAAAAGAATACAAAAAAAAGAAAGTACAAAAAAGAGGTAGCATAATTTTTCATCAGTTTGCCACAGTACACAAAATGGTCACAACACAAACTAAGAATTTATGGAGTACCGGAGAGGAAATATTTAAGGTATAAACTCTAGATCAAAATACATACATCAGCACTGCCCTTTGCACTCCAAGTTGGGTTCCCACATCAGGAACACAAACATGCAAAACACACGAAGATCTTGGTGCAATACAGCCATGTGTCGGCTCTACATGCACCAAAGCAGTACTAGATGTCTGTAATCCTTGATCCTAAACAACAAAACATTTCTTATATAATACTATAGAGAATTACAAGCAAGTTAATATCCCTCCTAATGGAAAATGGTAACTATCAGCAATAGACATAAAGAGCTAGACAAGCATTCCAAAACTTGCTAATCCCCATACGTTGCCGTTCCTAAAGACTTAATTATAATGCTTCTGCTGCTTCTATAATTTCTTTTCTACCACATGCCAATTGTCATACTGAAACATAACTGCTTGGCAGTAAGAATAGTTAAAAGGCCAGACGACTTTTGTGTAGTTTCCCTAGAGTAAACTATACACCATTTATTTTTAACTTTTTTAACCAACTTAGAATGGTAAAGAAGCTGATAGCCCACCTGATAGAAAATGGTAACCGTCGCCTATAGACATGAGCAGTACCATGGACATACTGTTTCGCCCATGATACCCCCATGTGTTGCCATTCCTGAGGACTCGGGTGTTATTCCTCTGTACCCTGAAAATTCAATGCCATATCCCACCCTTCACACTGAAACACAGCCATGCAAACTTTAAAACAACAAATATTAGTGCGGATTTGTAACCTATTACAAGGTAACTAGTTACATGTAGAAGCTGTATTTAACCTGCTGTTCTTTGACTTTTGCTTTTTTGGCTCCAACACAAAGTCGTTCGCTACTATTCTTGGAATGAAGAGAGCCATTCGTTGCTTCCTCCTTCTCCCAACAGGAGCAGATGCCCCAAGGACGGACGCTCCAATAGTATGAATATGACACTGAACTGGACATAGAATAAAAGAAATATAAGCAACCTACACACTGTATCAATAAAGTGAATGATGAACCATATTTTCTATAACAGTTGGGTGAGGGTAAGAGGAATCCATCATCAGGAGATCAAAAAAGACAACCAAGGAAACAAAATGTACCAGTGCAAGTATCTACATTCGGAAATGTCGACCTTTAAATGACTTCCCTGATCAATATCAATCAAACCTAATGTTAATGACAATTTTGTATTCCACTAATGAAATAACAAATAGGAATTAAGTCAAAATTGTGATCAGTTTGCAATAGTTTGCATTGGCAAGTTGCACTAATGTGCACCTATCTGAACAGCATGGAATCATTATGTCACTAGTATTTTCAATTCAAGAGTAAGAATGTTTCAATTCTAATATTGATCTATTGGAATTTATTTCAAGAGTAAATCCACTGATCCCATTCTTTTAGCTAATTGTGTTGAACTCAATTTCATTAAAAATCTTTTAATTATAACAGAATCCTTATGACTTTCTTTTAAATTCCAATCATGTACCATATAAAATCAGCTTTTATCTTTTTATTTATGTAGCCGTCGAGTTAATTTTATATCAAACTACACTTTAGTGGACAATTAGATTTTACTTTACAAAGATGTCTGCGACTCCAATCGTAATAAGATCACTAGTAACGTGGCACTAAACCCTATCAATTACGTAACGTACTTTCAAAATTGATTCAGAATTGTGCTCCATTTGAAACTCACTCAATAACAATAATATGTATTACTGTACGAGTGTTAATTTCTTATTTCGCCGAAATAAAATATATTTCGATGGGCAAAATCTCTGGAAACACTCTCTATACCTATTCTAATATAATATCTCTGTATTTGGCTGAAAACCGCAGAATCTACAGCTTAAAGTTAGTTTAATGAAATTAACTTGAAGTTTATTTATATATACCAAATTGGACTCGTTTCCAATAACTGGTACTGATTCTAAAGGCATTTAACCTTCACATTTTAAAATTAATTATAAACTTGTAAAATATAAATTCCCCAAATTTTAACATTATTTTCTGTTTCTTTTTCTTTTCTTTTTAAGTCAAAATTAATTTTTACAAGTAATACAATGTATTTGACAAATAAAGCTGTCGTATTCAAAATATTTGTAAGATAGAATATCAATCTTCCACTACAAATATTATGTATGTGAAGATTTTTTTAAATTTAGAATGAGAAATAGAATTTAGAATGATACACTCTATCCTATATTGGGTTGGCTGGACTGGCCACATGGGTCGAAGAACCGACAACCAATTGGAAAGAAAGGTTTTTGAGTGACGACCCCGTACGGGTAACCGCAGTGTAGGAAAACCCCCAATAAATGAAGTGACAAGCTCAAATACATTGCAGAGTCAGTGGATGCAGGTGGCACAGGACCGTTCCTTTTGGCAGTCAATGGAGAAGACATTTTTGTTTATACAACTTAGAATGGCAAACAAGCTGACGGCCCACCTGATGGAAAGTAGTAACCGTTGCCTATAGACATGAGCAGTACCATGGACATAACAAAGTATACTGTTTCACCCATGATACCCCCCCATGCGCTGCCATTCCTGAGGACTCAGGTGTTATTCATCTGTACCCTGTAAATTCACGCCATATTCCATCCTTCAAACTAAAACACAGCCATTATAACACAACTGCTTGACGGTAGAAACATGAATCAGACAGAGGTGACCAAGTAATCGACTTTTGTACAAAGTCTCCCTCTGGTAAAATAAGACCAATGTATGTTTAGCAGTAAACAAATAACGCTTGAGATGATGATGATGATCCTTTATTGATCTATAAAATAAACATCGAAAGCATCAAAATAAACATACCTGTGATTGACAAGTTGAACAGTAGCGGAAAGAGAACGGTGAGGAAAGGCGGTGCCGAGGTGCACGTAGTACTCGCACGCTGGATCGTCGTCGCTGCTGATATCGTAATTTTTCTCCTGGGCCTACAAGTTAAACGTAATGTTATAATTATTTGAAAATAAATACCACAAGAAAATATAGATATTTCAATATGCAAGATAACTAAAATCAAAGATTACCTTATAATAAGCTTGCATATCAAAATGTTAACCATTGAATTTGAGGTTTCAAATATTACTATGATAAACCATTGGAGTGGACACCATAATTAATAATGACTAATAATTTAGGTAAAATTGGCCTTATCCATAAAGGGGGTTTACCAGTAGTTGCCTAGTTTAGCAGGTGAATTGGCGACCGCAGTTAGGCTTTTGGTAATGTTTTGACAGGAACGCTGTTGTCCATACCTCGACCATTAACTTCAGTGGTAGACAGTTAACGGCTGATATCATGATAGATATAGAAAGACAAAGAAGGCCCTAAGTTCTAAGTTAAGTTTCAACATGTTTGACAAAAAGCATGTCACCTTTTATGAATAAAATAATAAATATTGCGAAAACGAAAAAGGTATGTTTGGATCAGTACATTTGGTGGGGTCTTATTAAAACTTCGTTTAGTTACAATTCTGTTGTGCGTATATAGAAGAGATAACGTTAAATATATAATATAGCACTGACCTCAAGAGTTATATGATCTCTTCTAAAGTACAAAGAATCTGCAAGCAGATGTAACGGCCGAGCGATGGCAGTGGAGGCGAGAACGCGAAGTGCAGCGGTGTGCAGGCCGGCGTGAGGGGCTCGGCACCAGACCGTCCCTCGTACTGATCCACCGCCGCTCCACCACACCGGTTTAATTGTGAATACACCAGCTTGCAGGGATCCATCACTTGTCAGATCCTGATAATTTTTTATTGTAAGTATAAAAAAATAACTAGGCTGACACTTTATTAAAGCTCCATGAGACAGCTTATTTCAACAACTCTTAACTACGATCCAGAACTCCCAAGATCGAACTCCAGCCTAAACTTTTGATTTCGAATTCATGTTCAAACCATTTAAAAATCATAGTCACTTGTTTCGTGTTTCGGAAGCAGTGGATGATAAGGGGATGGTAACCTTGCCGGCGTTATTGTTATCTGCTGGCGGAGCAGTAATGAATACAGTAATGAAAATGAAGCACATCTTGACGAATTCATTAAAAATTAATCACGATGGTTTTTAGGGAGTACCGCGTGGTCGACCAGTAGGGTACGTTGCTAGTAATGAGATTTTTAGACCCCATTACTAAAAATCTTTTTCTTGCCTGCATCGAAAGTTAAGTGATGCCATCGTCCTATACGAGTATGTCTCGTCAAAGACCTTCGTATATAGCAAAAGCGGACGAGAAACTTTGAACACCAAAGGGTGACATTCTTACCCGAGAAGTAATAGTAATTAATTAAATACAATAGTTTACCTTAACGTTAGACCTACTTTCGGTCGGTAAATATGCTGAATGAAGCACTAGCTTAAACATCTACGGTAGCCAATACTACCGTAACCTACATTATCAAACAAGTATGTGATAATCCTTATTCCAGGCATCAAAGTCCAGTAATTGATTACCATACCGTGATATAAAAACCAATTCAATATGAAAACTAATTTCGCTTTTAAATTCAACAATGATATACTTACATCCAAACAGAACGATGTCCAGGCATCTTCAGTTAGTATAAAGAAAGCAGCATGTTGTGCCTCACAGTGTAGAAGCAAGTGGATTTGATGTACATCTCCCAACAACCTTGCACCAAGGTCCAACACATCACCTCTGCACATCACGGACTCGTTCAGCACATGGTCAGGAGAGAAGGATAGTGATGACGCCGTTATGTTTGGAACTAATACTAGTTGAAAAAAATTTACAGTTTAATTATAAGCTAGTATCATATCAGCCTTTAACCGTCCACTGCTGAACATAATCCTTCCCCTTGGGGGGTTTTGCTAGTAGTTGCCACGCTTGGCAGGTGGATTGCCAACTGCAGTTAGGCTTTAGAGATGTTTTAAGAGGGACACTGCTGCCCATCGCTCGCCCTCCCTTAGTCGCTTCTACGACACCCACGAGAAAGGAAGGGGTGGCCTATTCTATGCAAGGACCACACGGAGACTTCATAATATACTTAACATAATATATTAAAACGCTCATATATTTATAACAATAGATCTAGTAACAAAACGAAACAAAATAATATATTGCATTTTCGAAGAATTTTAAGGGGAATTTTAATTGGCAATTAAAAAACGTTGCAAGGAGTCAGTGGTAGCAGGTGGCTCAGGAACGTTCTTTATAGCAGTCTATGGGAGAGGCTTATGCCCAGCAGTGAACTGATAATGGCTGAAATGATGATGATAATGATTAAAAGACTGTTTCAAACATAACTTACGTATTAAACTACGTTATTACGTATTAAGTAGTAAACAAATTCCTTGTACATTATGCCTCAAATAGCTCAATACTATTTAACATCACAAATGTAGCTACTGTTAATAATCTCACATGATTTATCAAAGGAAAATACTAGTACATACAAAGTGGTTGATCTACCACTAGTTAGCCTATTTGCATTTCTGAATAGCTTACGACACAAACGACACTGATGCGGCGTGTCGTGCACGATATGCGTAACGTGTACCGTAATATAGTGATAGATGGCTCTAGTGATTTTAATATCGCCTCCAGCTTGAATTCTCATATTAAATTTCTCATTTAAAATAAAATCTCTGAATAAAATCCTTTAAATTATTTATAGACTACATCTGATTCGATACGAAGTGCTTCAGTTTTTTTTTTTATGCAACTTTCAATGATAAAACTGACGGTCCACCTGATGGAAAGTGGTAACTGTCGCCTATAGATATGAGCAGTACCATGGACATAACAGAGTAAACTGTTTCAGTTTTGTTGTTTGATTCAGGTGTTATTCTTCTGTACCCTTTTTCACTTTTCAAAAAAAACTTTGCGTTACCAATAACAGAGCTGACGCGGTTTTACTGGTAACGCGATTTATTTCAACAACGTAAACGGAGTTACTATTCCATTTAAATATAAAATAAACTTTAGCCTCCTTTGAAGATTAGATAAACATAATCTTACTATAATTATGTCACATAGTTTCATCACATCTGTTCTTCATACACTTTCTGTTTTCACCTAATGGTTAGCTGGTAGAGGACGCCATATAGCATTAAGCTCGCCACTTGCACAAAGTTTTATTGTGCAATAAAGAATAAATGAATCTTACCATCCAATATGGGTGGTTGCATATAGCACGCTATTGGCACGACCAACGGTCTTCCGACAGAGACACGCACTTTGAGCACGTCGCGCAGCGCGCGTGCATCTCGTGGACGGAAGTGCACGCGCAGCTCAACGGCCGCGCCTGACGTCACTGTTAGGCCTCGAGTCCCGCATATCTGTACATCTAGCTCTCGCCGATAAGGAGGGTGAAGCGACAGACGGACTTCGAATTTTGATACGTTCACCAGGCGAAGTGAGCGCTGTGGATGTAAGATAGAATTTGACTAAGGTCTAGGATCATATTTTATACAACTTAAAATAAAAAACCTAACAGGCCACCTGATAAGCAAACCAGCTTACGTCCTGTCTGATTACAAGTGAAATCCAGGGAGGGAAGGGATTGCTAGTAATGGAGACTGAGAATCCCATTGCTAGCAATATACCCAACCAGGGCGACCTCCTCGCGGTTCCCCCTGGAAACTATCATAGTTAATTCCTGATGAATTCATCATGAAAGGCCAACTGGCCTGTTTTCATTCTCATCTATCACCCTTCACTGGTGCTCCGCCAGCGTATCCTGTTAGCGCAGGCGGGGTTATCATTCCATTTTCACTCATCAAAAAAAATAGTATATACATACTGTCCTATGGAATATTATTACAGGGTAAAGCAGCCGACACCTGAAGCATGTTCGTATTACAAAAACATGCAATTCGCGCGATTTATTCTATGGGAAGTCGTGAATCACTAAGATAATAATTTAAAAAAGCAAACATTCTCACCGTAGCTTCACAATACATATACGCAAACATTTTGTATATACGCAGGGCAACAGCGATCTGACTAATCTTAACACTAGATTTTTTTTATACAACTTAGAATGGCAAACAAGCTAACAGTCCATCTGATGGAAAGTGGTAACCGTCGCCTATAGACATGAGCAGTACCATGGACATAACAGAGTATACTGTTTCGCCCATGATACCACCCATGCGTTGCCATTCCTGAGGACTCAGATGTTATTCCTCTGTACCCAGTAAATTCACGCCATATCCCACCCTTCAAACTGAAACACAACCATGCAAACACAACTGCTTCATGATTGAAACACGAATAGGACAGAGGTAAGCAAGCAATCGACTTTTATACAAAGTCTCCCTCTGGTAAGATACAAACTTGCTGTTCCAATGTGTCGTTTTAAAGTGAATAATTCATTTACGAGAATGGGCGTTAAATGTTATAATAAAACACCGAAGGATATTTTGGATCTATCTTTTAACATATTTAAAACTGTTATTAAAAAACACTTATTGAACAAAGCCTATTACACTCTAAACGAATACTTGAATGACAAATGTGCATGATGATAGTCAATCATGCATGAGCTTTTTAATGACCATGTAATTTTAAACATAGTACGTTTAAATAAATACCTATAATGTTAACTGATATTTAAAAAGAACGCACAAGAAATTCAATAGTTACTATTGAGTTTCTTTTATGTTTTTCTAAAAAAACTACTTCCCGAACCCTGAATTCATGAAAAAATATTGATTCAAAAGTGCTAATAAACAAGTCTATTGGTATAAGGATGGTTTGAATTTAAATTGACGAATTGAAACTGAACAAACGGGTTCGAGACGGGCATTCAATTTACGTTTTGCCTATCTAGTACACTGCAATTGTGGTATTTTGTTTGCGACAACAAAAAATATTTGAGAATAAGTTAACGAATTTCTTGGAAAATTTTCGTTATAACGAACAGAATACTCGGGTGGAGAGTTAAAAAGCTTTTGATGTGTCAAGAAGAGGAAGATGAAAAACAAGCCGGCTGGCGGCAAACACTGATTGGGAAATGCTTCAAAATAGGATAGAATACTTTTTGTAACAAAAACGCGAGTATATAATTGTTACTTCTTGTATTACAATAATAGAATTCATCATTCAGATACATTATTATGTCTATATTATGGATACAAAGTGCATAATTTGTTTTTTTTTTTTATACAACTTAGAATGGCAAACAAGCTGACGGTCCACCTGATGGAAAGTGGTAACCGTCGCCTACAGACATGAGCAGTACCATGGACATAACAGATTAATAATGTATTAGTAAATACATATAGTCAAATACATGGATGTACACTAAATGACAGTGGCTTCATCATCATCTTGTCCTTATCCCGATTATTTAGAATCGGCATAATATATTTTTATTCATATTACAAAAAGATTTGGCTTATAGTTTTACGACTGACCGCCTGCCTAACGTCAACCCACTTTGGAAATGTATTTGTTAGTGGTTTCCGCAACCTACAATATGGAGGAAAGTATTGAGGAAAAAAGGAAAGAAACGTTAGAAATGCATAAAGAAAATTGGTAAGAGTATATGTGGGAAAGGAAAGGGGGGACAATGCAGTTGTAAAAAGGACTGGGACACTGCAGCGAAAAGCCGGGGTCATATACCCGTATGCCTTATTCTAGAATCAAACAAATTTCTAGAAAAGTACACCCTTGACGCAAATGACAGCGGCTTCACCCCGGTCAAAACATTCCTTTGAGCGACAACACATTAGGCACATAGTACACACATTAGATTGAAATATTTGAAATACACAACTGTGTATTTACAAATGCACTTTATTTAGCAACAAGGAGTTTTTTTTAAAAAAAAAAAAACAACGTAAAACATCAAAATAAAAATTTATCAAAATAATTTCCAAATAGAACATCGTTATCGCTAATATGAACACGAAAAATGCAAACGAAACGATAATCACTTCGTTTTGGAACTCGTTTAAAAACTCCTGACAAACAAAACAGCTAACACGATGATACTAACATGCAATACCCTGGAGACCCGGCGCCGATTTGTCAATGTCACAAAATATTAAAATGAAATATTGAAATGAATTTCGGCCACGTACCATTGGTTTAAAATACCTATACATTATTTACGACATGGACGCAACAGTTTCTACAGATTTTTATTTTTTATTTATATAGGTATACTGACAATAACAAACCCTTAGTTTATATAGATGGAGCATCAAATCTCAAAAACGGGTCAACATTTTATCAGCTAATTTTCAAATTAGTTGACTCGTTTTTCTGTCAGTGTTCTATACACTTACGCACATAACGTCTCTTGACATATCTATATTTAATTATTTAATAAATAAAAGGATGCAAAAATTATAAAACAAAATAAATATAGAAGTTATAAAGGAAACACTCATAAGTATTTATCACGCAAAATTGTTTAGAACTCGATACTGTTTTACATATTATTTGGTAAATGATTATAAACTTTATTGTTCATAGTATAAGTACTTTTTTCGTATATCATTGAGTTAGTTTGCATTCAGGATTTATGTTCAAATTTGGTTTGAACCTATTTTAACATGATTCAAACACAAATCTCTTTACAAACTTTTTAATTTCTATCAAAATAGGTTGTACGAAATAATAACAAGAACAATGACATGACTATGAATCCAATCACAGTATTGTTATATCAAATTATTTACGAGAGATAGTTTTTGTACAAAAATCGTTTACTTGGTCACCTCTGTCTCATTCGTGTTTCAACCGTAAAGCAGTTGCGTTTGCATGGCTGTGTTTCGGTTTGAAGGGTGGGATATGGCAGTGAATTTACAGGGTATAGAGGAAAAGCACCAGAGCTCTCAGGAATGGCAACGCATGTGGGATGCCATGGCATGAGCGAAACAGTATACTCTGTTATGTGCATGGTACTGCTCATGTCTATAGGCGACAATTACCACTTTCCATCAGGTGGGCCGTCAACTTATATACCATTCTAAGTCGCATAAAAAAAAATTAAATTCACCACTGTATCAAGGACTTTGTGAAATCGAGCTAAGCTCAATAATAAAGCCATTTCAATGTTTTGATTTCCCGCCTAAACCTACCTGTCTTCGGCTCGTACGTGACTATCATGCTACTTAATATAAAAGTACCTTTTTTATCTCACAGATTGCTTTTTATATTTTTTTTTGTCATATAAATTCCGACGTTAACGAGAAAATATTGTTACAGTGTTGATTTCACAGAGAACTTACAGCACTTAATATTATGAAATACAAGAAAATATTATATACAAACTATTTAGAACACGGGTACAATACGGGTATATTCATTTCATCATCATCGCAGCCATTATCCGTCCACTGCTGGACATAAGCCTCCCCCATAGACTGCCATAAAGAACGGTCCTGAGCCACCTGCATCCACTGATTCCCTGCAATGCATTTCAGGTCGTCTAGTAACCTAATGATTTAATTTATTTATTATCGAGCAACTTCAAAAAGCAATTTGACATCTTGTTATATATGTGTACAATGTATTTAACCAATGTCTGGTGATTAGAAACCTGTTTTGATGAGCTATTTTTAATAATATGTAATAAAATTATTAATGCGTAACTCATCGTCT